AAAGGATATTAAATTCTCCAAGTGTTGTTATTAAATTGTCCATTTACCCCTACACTTATATGTATGGTGGAACTCTCCTGTTATACACATATCTTCCTAATAGACTGATCATGTTTTTACTGTAAGATGGCTCACTCCATCTGTAGTAAAATGTGTTCTGTTAAAGTTTTGTCTAATGTTACTGTAGCCACACTAGCCTTCTAATGGGTGTTCTTTGCATGATATATCTTTTGTTATCCTTTTCCTTTCAACCTATTTGTATCTTTGAATCTAAAATATGCCTCGTGTACATAGCATATAGTTAAACTTTCTTTTTACCTAGTCGGACAGTCTATGTCTTCTGGTTAGATTCTTTGATCCTTTTACATTTAACATTATTGTTGATATTTATGTCTACTGCACTATTTTTTTCTTTATGTTATATCTCTTTTGTTCCTCTGTTCCTCCTTTAATTACTTTACCTTAAGTGAACATTTCCTAGTGAACCATTTCATTTCCTTTAATGATTTCTTCACCATTTTTTAAGTTATTTTCTTAGTAGTTGCAATAGGACAGTGATGGTGAACCTTTTAGAGACTGAGTGCCCAAGTTAAAACCTACTTATTTATCACAAAATGCCAACACTGCAGTTTAACCTGAATACTGAGGTTTTAGCTTAGAAAAAACAACTCACGCATTAACACAATAAGAAAGCTCTCAAGGATACAAACAGCTTTTTACTGAAAGGTAGAAGCTTGCGTTTGGTGTGCTTTTGCACAATTAATGTAACCTCTGTCATGTGTACATTGATAATTTGTTAAGCCTGGGCTCACACTTCTTTAGTCTGAGAACACATGCAGCTCTCAGGTCATCCATTAGTCTGTTTCTTATATCAGATTTGATATAATTCAAAGCTGAAAACAGCTGCCCACAAGCATAAGATGATCCAAACAAAGTAAGAAAAGCAATCCCAAGTGCTTTCACTGACTTAAAATTATTTGGCAGAGAATTCCACACTTTAAGGATTTCTGAACTACTGCTGTGCTGTCCTTTGTTATCCTTCCACACTCTATCTTCTCAAGTGTTAGACACAGGTCATAAAATTTATTTTTCCAGATGGAGCTTTCTTGAAATTCCAATAGCTCCATCCATTTCCAGATTTCCAAAATCTAACCAGCATAAGCAGGAAAGATCAAGCTCTCCACATCTGGCTTTATCTGGAGAAGAAAACACAGGGTTGTCTCTGTCTTCCAAAACTGTGAAAATCTTTTACTCAAATTCACCTTTGCAGCTGCTTCAATGCTGGAATATTCCTTGTAGATTTACCGATGGCTTGCAGGATTATCTACAAATGTTGTAGAATTTCCTAAATGCATTTGTAGATTTGGAAAATATTTTAGCTGCCCACTTTCAAGTTCTGAGGCAACTTGGCTCATGTGCTGACTGAGAGAGCTCTATGTGCCTGCTGCAGCACAGGTGCCATGGGTTTGCCACCATGGCTATGGGATATAATGTGTGTAAATTAGCTGGGAGGTGGTGGCACACGCCTATAATCCCAGCACTCAGGAGGCTGAGGCAGGAGGCTCACTGCAAGTTTGAGGCTAGTTTGAGCTACAAAGTGAGTTCATCACCAGCCTGAACTACATAGTGAAACCCCGTCTCAAAGGACAAAAAAAAAAGTACAAATTAGGTTTGAAAGCTTTCCTTGTTATATTAATTTAATCCAGCAAAATATAGACATATCACTTCTATGAACTCTTTTCTTTGCTCTGTGTGATATATATTCATTTGTATGTGTTGAAAAATCACTATTTACTTGAACAAAGCTCAGAGAAAAGGATATACATGTATACACACACAGACACACACACCTGATATATACAGTCTTTGCCATACTAACCTCCTCATTGACCACATCTTATTCTAGTCACGGTTTCTGGATTCAAGTCAGCTTTCGTGCTCCTCCTCACTCGGGGCTGATGCAGCTCTCCCTACCTCCCCTGGGCAGCTGCTGTTGCACGCAGCTCCTTTCTCTGCTACAGACACAGCAGCTGGATTCTGTACACCTCTATACAACTGCTTTTTGAGTTAATAAAGACAGGAAGAAGATTTACTTATACTACATTTTGTCCTTATGTGACTATCTTTGCTGGTATTCTCTCTTTGCTGGATTCCAGTAACTTTCCGGGGACTTACTTTCAACCTAAAAAATTATCATTAGTGTTTCTTGCAAAGCAGTTCTGCTAGCCATGAATTCACTCCATTTTTGTTTATCTGGGCATTTTACTTGTTCTTCATTTCCTCTGGCCTCCATTGTTAGTGATGCTACAGAGCTGTTAACCTCACTGGGTTTCCTTTGTACAGGATAAATCAATTTTCTCTTGATTCTTTCAAATCTATAATTCTCTGAGTAACATAAATATTTTTTTAATTTGTACTTATATCTTCATAGAATTCTTTATGAAAATATCTCAAAATGCAGTAATTGGATTAATTGGTATAAACATATGGTCATTACAAATTCCCAAACAATTCTCTAAAATATTTATACCAATTTGTACAAGAACCAAAATATGTGATGCCTATCTGCCCACCTACTGACATTAGATAATTTCTTTTTACAAAAATCAGTGATTTTTCCTTGAATTTAAAAATTTTTTAGGGCCTGGGGATTTAGCTGAGCAGCACAGTGCCTACCTGGCAAGCACAAGGTCGTAAGTTCGATTCCCGGTACTGGAAAAAAAAAACAAAAATTTTTTAAAATGCATGAAAAGAAGCTGGTGAACTGAAGATATCAGCTCAGATAAAGCAGAATTTCCTAGATCATCTTACAGAGTTTAGAAGAACACATTCAAAACTTTAAGGGAGGGACTTTTAGTAGATGTAAGTTTGTGATGGCTTGGCGGGAGGAGGCAGTGCCCAGAGGTCTATGATGTAACAAAGTTGCTTGGGATTCTGAGGCACAGGTCACATGCCATTGACCATCTTGGGAAGAAGTGACTTCAGAGCCAGGAGGCCTCAAGAATGGTAAAAGAAATCATCGGACCTCTGGCCCTCTACTGTGCCTTCGGTCCAGTCTCCAGCCATGCTATGATACCCTTAAAGAAGAGGGTGAGGAAGGGCCACCACCTCCACAGGGGCATCAAAAACATTGTCGCTTTTTTTTTTTTTTTAACCCAGCCAGTAATACTGATTTTTCCAGCACATTTCAGATTTCATACTTCAATACAACCTTAACGTTTCTGCTCTGTACTAAACAACTGCAGGTCATGGGTTCATGAATGGTTACAGCGGAAGGGTTGCCAGTCTGCCTCCTCATTTCACAGATGAGGAAACAAAGACCAGAGAGATTAATAGAAATCAGCATGGGTTTCTTCTCAGCCATCACTACCTGATGAATTGTGTGATCTGTAGTATCATGAGTTTGGGGGTTGGGTTTTTTCATGTATAATTGAGTTGGTCATGAGTTTTATGAATGTTTACACTGAAAACAGGTGTGATGGCAAGTGAACAGAAGACAACAGGAAATGAAAGACTGGGATTAAAAGTAATCAAGGTGCCCTTTTAAAATATATGGGTAATTTTAGTAATTTAAAGAGGAATTCAGGCCAGGCGTGGTGGCACACGGCTGTAATCCCAGCACTCAGGAGGCTGAGGCAAGAGGATTGTTGTGAATTTGAGGCCAGCCTGGGCTACAAAGTGAGCTCAAGACTAGCCTGAACTGCATGGCAAGACTCTGTCTCAAAAAGACCAAATAAATAAACAAATAAAATAAAGAGGAATTCAGGAATACTTTTTAAGTAGTAATAATTTTATGTAAGCAATTGTGAGAAAGAACATTACACAAGCCATAACCATGGGATTTTATGTGTGGGGAGCCACTCAGACTACTTCAAAGCTCAGGGGCATCTAAGAACACCTGAGGCGGTGACCCCACTTGTCTAGTACAGGTGCACAGTGGGATACAGTTATGTAACCATGACTTAGCACAGGTAAACATGCATGTACTGGTTACCGTACCCTGTAAGAAAATAAACATGAGACAACAACTTCTGTAAGAATTATACAATAAAGATGTGGACGGCTCTCACTCCAGCTCTCTGCTCTGCTCCATGCTGCCTGCTGTTATTGCTGGTGTCTTGCACATGTGTGCTCTTTAACCTTGGGGCCTCACCTGTGAAAATCTCCCTTGGGTTCCCTGAGTGGGCTTGTTATGGCGAGATGCAATGAGACAGGTACTCACAAGAAACCAAATATGGGAACAAACAAAGCTTTATTGCCAGCAACAGACAGCCTGAATAAGAGTCAGAGAAGATGTCAGTGTTGGTTGGACTTTGCTTCCCACTTAAGTATCTTTTAGGTTTCCATGGTAACCATACAATCACATTACCTCATTTTTGAGAATTTTACAAGAATGTCACATAATCGTCACAAGGTTTACATTTCCAAGAAGTTCTTGGTCAAGCGGACCTTGGGAGGTTTAATGTTTAGCCCACTCCTTAATTTGTTCTGTTTGTTCCTTATTTTATAGCTCTGTCTCCCTTCTGTATTTAATGGTCAGCTACAAGGGAGCAGGTGAAGGAGTGAATTCATCTATAGTTTAAGTGAACTTCAGTACTTCTAAAATAGAGTTCCAAAGTTTCTCTTGCCCTATCAGGCTGACACTAGGCACTTGTCAAATTTTACTCAGTCTACTCACTATTCACTAAGGAAGTCTATAAGCTAATGAAAACTTACACTGTACTTGTCATGGTTTGTGTCTAGATGTCCTCCAAAACCTCATGCAGTCATGGGGGGCAGCCTTTTTTGGAACTGGCTGAATCTAGAATTTGTGATTGGTTCATTGTCTAGTGCTAGGACTGGGGGTGTGAGTGCTGCACCTGCCCTAGGGCGGGCAGCCTGCATACAATATATAAAGGAGAAAAAGAGGCTTGCTCCTTCCCTTTTGTTCTTGTCACTTTTGCTATCTTCCACTACCATGAACTGTTGCCTTTCTGCCATGCCACCCTGCCTTAGAACCAGCTGATTATGGACTGAAACCTCCACAAACTGTGAACTAAATAAATAAACCTTTCCTTCCTTAATTTTGGGCATCAGGTATTTTGTCTCAGCAATGAGAAAAAAGTAACTAAGATGGTATTTACCCCTTCATATAATCATTGTATGCCTTCAGTTTTGCTAAAATACCATGCCAAATGACTAGCATCCTATTAGAACAAAGAAGGAAAAGAGCAGGGCTACGAGCTCACAGGACAAGTTTATTTCAGAGCAAACCTGAGAGGGAGCACTCTGATACTAGAGACCAGACCAGTAACTCTTGTACAGACTGTGAGATCTTCACAGGGTCATGAGTAAAGAAAAGGGGCACTGCAGAAGGGAAAAGTCACAATGGGACTTTCAGGGAGGAGTTCAGTGCAAAGGAATTGTGGATACATGCCTGGGACAGGGCTTGCAGACGCACAAGGAGTTGTGTGTTGTCTGAACAATGATTGGGAACTATAGGCTGCAGCTGTGCTCACTGGGCTTTATAGACCTGTGGTGATACATCTGCAGCAGTGATCAGCTTCCTTCACCCCCTATATCTTCCTGAACACCAGAGTTACAGGTACTACCCACATTTGGAAGAGGAGGGGACGGAGGCTTAACAAACAAAGCCAAGACTCCACTAGAAGCCAAGTTTCTAGTCTCCTCAGTGTCATCTGCTTCCAAATAGACGATGCTGCCTTGTCACGGGAAGTACTCGTCACGGAGCTTTTTACTTTTTCCCACTGAACACACCCTTAGCTTAAGCCGGTGACACCTATAGCCTTTGCTAAGATGACCAATGCTCCTTATAGTTTTCTGCTACTCACAAGACAGCACTCTAGAACACAGACCAAGAACCCTAAAACCGGGACCCGAGGGGAAGAGGGCTCCTGGCCACGGTCACAGTCTGTCAGCTCTGGCACCACAACCATGGCCAGCCCTACTCACACTCAACCAGAGGACACCAGCAGGCCCGGGATGAAACCCTAACTTTAGGCAGCAGCTGGAATCGAGCAGGATGGCCCTGTCCTGCTGCGGGTTAGAGAAGCACCTGGTGCTGAAAACACCACGTGGCTACATCACTGCCTGCTGCCGTTTCTGTGCCTCTGTTGCAAATCAGCTGTTCCACAATCATCACAGCCCCCCTTTGCTGTCAGGGACCCCCAGCGCTCCTGTGAGGATGAGCCCAGGTCAACTCAGCCAGCAGTACTTGCTCTTTATCTGTCTCCTTCCTGTCCACATCCTCCCGATCAGCAGGCTGGGGTCGACTTTGTGTTACAGACACCCCACACTTGGATGCGTCCATAGAGAGCACTGGGTACAGAAAACCTCTCTTCATAGATGTTCCTATCATAATTCAAGTAGGAATTTGTACTGTTATTCAGAATTATTTCCATACTGTTTGAAACTCCAGTTTTCCAATACCAGTATTTTCTTTCATTAATTTATCTGTATGAAAATCAACTATGAAATGCAATAAGAGAATATGAGAATATTAAAAACTTTAAAGCAAGAACCCACAGCTGCTGGGAGCAGTAGCATACACCTATAAAACACAGCTGTTCTGGAAGCTGAGGCAGGAGGATTGCAAGTCTGAAGCCCCCGTGAACAGCAGTGAGCCTCAGCTCATACAAAACAAGATCCTCTAGACTTGAGAAAGCCTGAATTTCTGTTTTAATGCCATGTTGCAAAAATCAGATTTCCTGCTCAACTTCTACGTGTTTCTTCATTTAGAGAGTACAGGACAACCTTGGAGCAGTCTGAGTTTGTTTACACACATGGATGTGCACACACGTGTGTGTGCACCTCTGAGGCAGAGGGAATGGCCCTGGTGGGGGACACTCACCCCCTCTATGCCGTCACTGCCCACTAGCACGCATTGCTGCCCATGGGCTGGGCTCATGGGCAGTGTAGAACCCGTAAGCTCAGGGACAGTAAAGTCTTGTTCAACTGTCACAGCGGCCTATTTCAAACTTAAATGTTATTCCAAATAAAAACTCCAATGTACAATCAAAGCATCAAAAGAGAATTTCAAAAACCAAAAACAGACAAATATTTCCCCACATGAAATACAATTCCGAGTGCACCCAAACATGGGAGTGTATAGCACACTCACACCAATTAGCGCACAGGGACTCACGGTAGGGATAGGAAGATCCAGGCTTGGAAGGTTGCACTGACCTGAAGCCCATCGTCCCCTCTCTGTCATGACACAGTAGTGAGCGAAGCCTGTAACACTGAACACAAACCTACATCATGCGAGGGACAGCCAATGACTTCTGCTATACTGAATCCTGGACAGAAGTTCTGTCTCCAAAATTCATTATGCTGCAAAGCCTATAACACAAGGGGGAGCAAGGCAAGGTAAAGAGTTTTAAATTTCACAATGTTTCCCAAGAATTATGTCCTTAAACTAATCCTTATTGTTATTTCTAAAGATGCTGCAAGTTTCACCTGTATAGTCTCTGTCACAGTAAAGCAGGTAAAGTTATTTCCCTGGCCATCTAGAGGCCTAGAGTTGGGGTGTTGCTTCCAGTTGATCAGGAGGGGAGACCTCTGGCTCAATCATCCCAGAGCTGGCTCCTTCTTGTCCCCACTTCTGACACCAAAGGCACTATAATCAGTGTAATGCCACTGTTCTTGGTGAACACTGTTGAATTATGGGAACAATGTTTTGTTTGTTTTTATAAAAACAAGTTGTAAGCCAAGTGTGGTGGCACATACCTATAATCCCCGCACTCAGGAGGCGAAGGCAGGAGAACTGCTTCACGTTCAAGGCCAGCCTGGGCTATATAGTGAGTTCCACTCCAGCCTGAATTATACAGTGAGACCCTGTCTCAAAAAACAAACAAACCAACAAACAAAAATCCAAATTGCAATTATGAGAGTTAGACACT